TTGTAACTGTATCTCTCTTCTTGCACTTCGTCTCTCCCGCCCTCCCTTTCTTTCTTTTGCTGGAATTTTGTAAGTCGCGGTCTGCATGCTCGGATCGATGCGTGGAGAAGGGTTACATCCCCCACGCCGCGGCCGATCATGCAAACGCAGGCGTCCTTTCTCTAACCCTCACTCTAAGTCCTAGTAATTCCGCGTTCTTCGCGCATGCATGCACCCTATAAATTTTGGCTGCGCGATTAGTGAGCTCTCTTAACCTGTTGTTGGAAGCTCGGGGTTGCGCCATCAGGAAGGGTCGGCACACGAGTGAAGTAAGAGTTGAGTAGAGTAGGAGTTGGGCGACCCGACGGGCTGGTGCCGAACGCGCGGGATTGACGTGGGCCACGACGGACTGTGGGCACGGGCGAATCCGACGGGTGCGGGAGGACTAAGCGGGGTGACAACTTCGTGGGTTGGTGCGTGACGACGGACTGTCCGCATCGGAGAGAGAGAGAGAGAGGAGAAGAGAGTTGAGGTTGATGGATGTGGATTTGCGGTTTCTTTGTCTCTTCCCCCTCTTCATCTGTGTACATACATTTTGATTACAGCTCCGGGCGGTTTGCGCGTCCTTATTTTCGTTTCGGCTTTTTGAAATTTTGGCTTGGATTTTTGCTCACATTTGTCTTCGCGACGTCCGCTTTTGCTTGCATTATGTGTATGATTGTCGAATGTATGGATGCATAAATGTTATGCCTGCTTGCCTATCTCTTTTGCGGAAAATCCCTGCCCTTGCTTTTTGTTTGTGCCGAAYCTTTGCTTGCACCGGGTGCAACGATAGATGGGATAAGAGTCTGGCCCCGATGTAGATTTCGTTTTTGCTTGTCCCCTGATGAGGWTGTGGTATGATTGCATCTTGCATAACTGAGACTTACGAAGCAATTAGGCGCGAAGTCCGGCCCCGCGAGCGCCGCACGAGAACACGTGTAAACGCGATCCGAGTCGCGCCCTTGCACGCATTCCCGCGCGTCGACTCGCTCACCCCGAAAGGAATCACAGCGGAACCATCATGTACGAGCATGATGAGGCGCCACTGAGTCGGCTTGTTCTACACGTGCTCGTGCGCGGTGACGATATCCCGACCCGCGCTATCCCATCGGCAATGATACCATGACGCGATCTTGGGGCTCAGACTCGTCCTATGACCCGGACTATTTCACCCCTTTAATAAACGAGCCCATAAGGACCCGATACCCTTGTCACACACGGAGAATCGGCTATGTCCACGGGAATTCCACTGTGCCACTACTGGCGACCCTCGGTGCTCCGATTTCCCTTCCCCCGACCACACCTACTACTTCACCCACCCGGGATTCGTTGAGATCACCACCAGTTTCCCTCCTTTCCGCCTCCTTCTTCCTTATCATCAGCTCAGTGTCGTTCCGTGGCCGGCCATAGTCCCCTATTGGCCCCACACGTTTTGTGTAAACTGCCAACGCAGCGGCGCACAAAGAGCCCCGGAATTCCGAAGGCCCAACCCAGCTACGGGGCGGCCTGGCGGCCCCCGACGGCCTAACTTTTCAGGACCATCTCCACCACGGAGGAATTTTCCCGTAACCCGTCGCCCACAGTGCCCCGGCCCCATCGGACCGTGAGTCCCTTGCACACACCCGCCTAATTGCATTCATACCCTTAAAACTCCCCCACTTTCCCCAAAAATCCTTGGCACACCCCTTTTCGCACTTCCAGGCCCACATCCCACTCCGATCAGGAAGTCGCGCAGGGCGTGAGGTTGGGCGTCACAACCTCATTACCAACACCAATTCGTTGCCCCTTCGTCAAGAAGAGAGGCCTCACGAATGTCCAGCGGCTGATGACGACTCCAACAGTGAATCTTGCCTGCACACCAACCATAACCACCACTCCCCACCCTAAAACCACTTCCTATCACCTGTCACTACTCATCACATGCCCTAACCGCATCCTCTTCCATCGTGCCACTCCACTCGCTGCTACTCCCCATGACCCTTTGTCGCCAAGAGCCGCATCCTTTCCTCCGCTCCTCTCCGCTCCCTGATGCTCCCCCTCACCCTTCATCACCATGCGCTATCCGTACCTGCCCGCTCCTCCGTAGTCCGCCGGCGAGATCGCGGGGCGCAGCGCTCCCGGTCGCGCTGCGCCCCAGTAGGTTCCTCTTTTTGAGTCACCCTTGACGTCACCATGATGACGTCATACCACACGCCACGAAACGAATAAAATCACAGAACCAACTGCTGCGGCAGCCACTCTTCGACAACTGCTACATCACAAACGAGGAGGCGCTACCCATCCCTGCCACGTCAGCCAGAGGAGCCTTCGGAAGGAGATGGGTTGAGAAGGGAGTAACCACAATAGGAGACCTGTGGGATGACACAGAGGGGGATTGGATCAAGGACACTGCCTTGAGAGACACCCTGGGCAGACTAAGATCGGTAGAGCAGAGAAGACAACAGATCATACAGGCGATCCCATATCACAGAGGGGGATTGGATCAAGGACACTGCCTTGAGAGACACCCTGAGAAGACTCTTCTATGTTCCAAGCGGCCCACACAAGGACAATGGTACCAAGGAGAAGCTCAGGGGCAGTGGGCAACTTACCTGAGGATAGAGGAATACGTGGACGAAGACACCCTCACCGTACAGGAATGGTCAGCCCTGGTTAATGACAAGCTCAGACAACGATTAACATATCAGGCCACGACCAGCCGGAGCCCCACGGTGCCGCTGCAACTGGTCAGAGTGTATACCTCACAAACCAGTTCTGGAGTCCACCAGCACGAGGTAATTCTGGCTGGAAGACCCCTAGCCTCCCAGCGAATTGATCCGCTGATGGGTGCTTGGAGAGACGATGAGGGAAAAGCCATACCCTTCTGCCACTACAGCTCCAAATTGGCAAGGAAGTTGCACTCCAACAACCGCCCCTCGCCGGCAGCGGCGGCCAGCAAGCTGAATCGCACAGCCTCCTACACCCTCACCATCTCTGAGGCAGGAATCAGAGGCCTCTGGACTCAGCTACCAAAGCTACCATCCCTCAAGTTTGCCGCATTCCTCTGGATGTTATCACATGCAATAGTGCCATGCACAGTCTGGCTATTCGAGAAAGGAATGGACATCGTCACCAAACGCAGAAGATGTGCCAGTGGGAGCAGAGCCGAAGAGACAATCTCGCATCTGGTTTGGTCCTGCCCTGCCTCAAAGCGCATTTGGCTGTGGTGGGCATGCCACTGGTACAACTTTGTGGGTGAGGCACTGACTTTGGATGGGCAATTGGAGGGATCATACCAGGACATGGTTCAAAACGATAGGAAGGAGATATGTGGCACAGACAGTGAGGGCAATCATCCTCTGGACCATCTGGACAGACAGGAACGGCGTTCACTTTGAAGGGCAATGGACTTCAGATGAAGCAATCGAGGCTAGAATCAAGGCACTCATTCGGACAATGATCATAGTTGACTGGACAAGAAAGGCTGCACAAGGAAAACCCCCACGTGGATTACGTTGGTTCCTGGTCACCTGGGCCAGGGATAATCAGCTTGCAGCAGTCACCCTCGAAGGGAAGATGGTCCTCTCACCCTGGATTCAGTCATAACCCCCCCCCCCCCTCCTTTTCTTACCCCCATTCTGTGCTTCGCCCCTGAGACCTGGCTCCTCGATCGATGCTCCTTCCCCTACGGAGAGCAATGAGGAGACAGAGTAGAAGCTGAGTCATTGTAGACTCGGGGGGTCTCTCAGACCCTGTGTAAGATTGAGAAGTTTATCAGAATATAATAGAGGGTATCTCAGACAGAGAGACACTAGGTAGGTAGAAAGTTGGTTGCTTTTCCCCCCCACCCCATTCTCACCCTTCCTCCCCACCCTTTTCTCCTCCCCCTGCTACCCCTCCACTTCCTCCCTCTCTCTTCCCTCCCTCCCTGTTCTGTATGGTTCTGCCCCTTACCGTCTTTTGCCCTTGCCTTTCCCCCTGGGCCACAGGTGCTTCCAACAGGACCAATAACTGGCAGGAACAGCATTGGCTCCTCATTGAGTTAGACCAGGTTAGACCAGGTTTGATGAACACTGAAGCTGAACCGGCTGATGCGGCCGGGATAGCTCGGGGTTGAATTGTGAGGTCCCCGGCCTCGTGGTAAATGTGATTTGGAATATAATTGAATAAAAAAATAAAAAATAAAATCACAGAACCAACGGGCAAATCGCAAACCCGTCAGTCATTGGAGCGAGGCCCGATCTCACATCGACTCCAGAGATCCGACGAGCACTTTGGTAAGCAAAGCAGTGGAACGAGGCCCGATCTCACACTCCAGAGATCCGACGAGCACTTACGATGACGTTACATCCACATACGAATCTCGATGTTCAATCCCGTCATTCTGCACCCATCAGGAAACACGTCCGGATTCACCAGTGAACTACCAAGAAAGGTTATTAGCATGGCCCCTGTGCAAGGATGACACGCATAAATCGAGAAACGGTCCCCCCCCACAGAAAAAAAAAAACCCTCTGCAAAACACACACACAAAAAAAGGGGAAAAAACAAAAGCAGTCGGACCTAGCCCCGGTGTGGGCGGGGGCCAAGTCCCACTAGCAGCGTTGAGCTATCTCAACGCCTGAATCTGGACGCTTTTGAGCAGATGTGCAGACATGGTGTTGAGTTTCCTGAACTGCACTTCTCCACAAACACGTCCAGATCCGGGCGTTGAGGTAGCTCAACGCTGCTAGTGGGACTTGGCCCCGGGAGGATGGGCGTACAACTGACGCCGCTATCTGCGGCAAGAAGGAATCAAGCGGCCGAATCTGGATGTGTTTCATGCAGAAATCCAGAAAAGCAGTTCAATCGCGTCATTCTGCACCCATCCGAAAACACGTCCGGATTCCCGCCTGAAATCAGACAACGGTAATTAGCATGGCCCCTGTTCGAGCCACGAAACACCTACATTTTCAACAGACCGGTCTCCGGAGACTGGCCCTGGAAATTCAGGCTGCCGACCATGCACCCGGTCGTGCGCCAATTGGCCACGCCAAAAACCCCTCTCCACTAAACACACCGCCTGCACGACGATCTCCCCACGCGCCACATACCAGTAGCTGGCCAACGACCGCAACTCTGCTCGACACAAAACGACAAAAGCCGAGGGAGGTAAACGCAGCCCCTACGGGCTGCGAACGCTGGGGCCTACTTACCAGGGATGGTCTCATCACCTCGGTAAGTAGGTTTCTTCCCACTCGGAAGTCCCCCCCCCTCCCCCCCCAAAAAAAGCAAAAAAAGACACGAGAGGGACTTCCTGCCAATGGCCAAAATGGTGCCTCGCGTGGTCACACAGACCATGGCACAAATCCTTCAACAACAAATTTCGTTTCACGGATTCTCGAACTGGAAAACCAGTTTGCTACCATCTCCGGAGGCGGTAGCAAAATGCTCTTCCCCGGCCCGCCAGGCATCTGACATTCTGACATTTGATACCCCGTTTGCTACTCTCCGTGCCTCGCTCCGTGCCTCGTGCGACTGGCCCAACCATCAATCAAATTTTAGCGATTTTGCCACAGAATGCGAGCGAGGCCGATTTTGGCTCATCAAGCATGTGAGCATGCATGACGATATAGTGACGTGATATGACGATATAACTTCATATTGTTGTCCTCTTCTCTCTCTCTGCCTACGGTTTACCGGGCAGTTCTATTTGTGACGATATATATATTATTGTATATATCCCTTCCTCTTTTCTTTGCCTCTTTGCCTTCTGGCTGTGTGCAAGTGGGTCGATATGACACACGGGGGTGGGGGCAGCCGCTGCTCAACCTACATCCACGTGGGCGGCCTTGTACGCAAGAGGTTCTGAACAGGGGGAGTTATAAGGAAGAAGATAAAAAATTGAAATTAATATTCCCTGGTTTTCTTTTCCCCTTTTTTCTCTTTTTTTCGCATTTGCGCTCTGATATTCTTGTGACGATATATATATATATACAATATATGAACCGACAGTCTGTAGAGTTTTCCATCTGGTGTGGGTGAGTGATAGTCTACGTTGATTTTGGTTAAGGTAGATTATCATTTACAGTGTAATCAGTGAGGGGATTCTGCAGACTGTTGAGGGTTCAGCCTCCTGATGAGTCGGTGAAACTTCGACGAAACAGTTTGTCACAGCCCCTCGTTTGTTGTCCTCTTCTCCCTCTCTGCCTACGGTTTACCGGGCAGTTCTATTTGACGATATATATATATGAAGTTCACCAGATGTGCAAAATGAGAATGAATCTTCGGCTACAACATGGAAAGATGCACCGCAATAATTTTTGTCTTTTGTGCATCTGGTGAGTTGTGGAGCAAGGCCCTCTACCTATCTACCTACCTATCTATCTAACTCTAACTCTATATCTATATCTATATCTATAGACGATATATATATAGATTCTCTCTCTCTCTCTCTCTCTGTGTCTATATCTATATCTATATTTATATAGATCTATATCTATATTTATATAGATCTATATCTATATATCGTCACAAACAGAACTGCCCGGTAAACCGTAGGCAGAGATGTATAGGTGTAACTTTGTATCGTTATTTAATAGGGTTTTTTTTGATCAATCTGCCTGGTGACACACCATAGCCCTTTTACCATTACGTGACTTGGAAGGGTGTACTGTTGGGTCACACCACAGGACAGGATGACCATGGCCGACGAGCGGTATAACTTGCGCCGGAGAGGGGCAAATCTCCACTCTGCCCATGGAAACAGCTCCACCCCATCATCTTCCGCAGTTCAAGCGTCTCAGCGATCTACTAGGGGAGAACGCGCAGCAGGATCATCATCATCATCAGCAGCAGCAGCAGCAGGAGTGTCTGTTCGGCGTCTAAGGACCTGGCAGATTGCTGCATGCTGCATCATTCTGGCGATTTATTTTGGGTTTGTCATCAACGCATCACTGCAGCTGCTGGACACTTTTCCCAAACCTGTGGAGGAAAGCACCTGTAATCGCAATGTCTTCTCTGAAGAAAGAGCTATGAAGACTGTCAGAAAGCTGGCCATTGACATTCGTGATCGCCAGGTTTGTCTGTCTAACCCTCTTCTACCCTCTCCTCCTCCCTCCTCCTCCATCTTCCTCCCTGCTCGCTCCTCTCTCCTCCCTTCTCCCTCCTCCCTCCTCCTCTATCTTCCTCCGTCCTGCCTTCTTGTCTCTGTCTGCCTCTCTCTCTCTCTCTCTCTCTCTCTCTCTCTCTCTCTCTCTCTCTCTCTCTCTCTCTCTCT